TCCCGCCGCCCCGGCGTTGCCTGTCCTCATTCACACGCAGACCGTGAGAAAACCAGACATTGCCATGCGCCGCCCCATGGGGTCGGGAAGACGGCCTGGCCCGGGACCTCCAGCAGCTCTCTCCGTGCCCCTTGCGGTGCGGGAGGGGGCTGGGGGGAGGAGAGGAGGCCGAGGACGGTCCCGGAGCCTCGGAGCGGCCCCGCCTCGGGTAAGCCCGCGTCTTGGGTTCTGCTCCGGGCACATTGTTCTCATACAAAGGCCGCTTCCTCGCGGGCAGCGGGAGAGGATAAGGGATCCCCGCTCTCATTCGCTGGCTTGGGCTTTGGATAATAAATTATGGATGTGCTGGAACCTGGGGACCCTCCCGCCAGCCCCGAGGCAGGGCATTCAGGGGGAGGCCTGCCTTCCCTTCAGGACCACCCGCCCGCCAGCTGCCTCGGAAAGGAACGGAGAGTCAGGTCCGGTCCGGGTGGAAGCGTCTGAAGCTTCATTCTCGGTGCGAATTTCCCTCCGTTTCCTGGTTAAACCACAGAAGCACCCACGCGGCTTGAGAGCGTGAAGTTAATGCTGTGTTGGACCCGGCTTCTGAGGAGACCGCTGTCGCGTGCCTGGCGGAGGCCTCCGGGAGCTGGTGTCGCTGTCCTAGCGCAGTTACGGAGGAAGGCAGGCGGTGCGGGGAGCTGGGGTGCTGTGCCCTCCTCATCCCCCCAGAAAACCCCTGCTAATGCGGTGAGGCTCACCTGGAACAGCCCCTCCTGCTCGGCTAACAAAACTCGTGCTCGTCTGGCCTTGGTCTCCCTTAGGCTGGGTATTTCCAACTGCACCTGCAGCTGGGATCTCAGAAGTCAGTGCTGCGCAGGGGAGATGATTGGGAGTCAGGAAGGTGAGGTGGCAGTCACATCCCTCCCTGTGTTATTGATTACAGCTTGGCCATGCTGAATGCCCTGTGTCACAATAGCGCTCTCCACCTGAGGGAAAACCCAGAATCACTCAGGTTTTTGTGACCTACCCCAGGCTCCTCTCTGGATAGCTTTCTTTCTCTCTCTCTCTCTCTTTTTCTTTTTTTGTAAAGAATATAACAGTTTATTTTATTCAACTCTCAAATTATTTGAATCTTCTGAATGAACCAGGTTGTACATTTCCATCCTGGTTCTTAAAGAGGAGATTGCATGGGCTTGTGGCTGTTTTTCTTTACCTGATGTTTAAAAACGTCACCAAGCCATAGGCATCTGTAAAACTGAAAGCTACTTTGTATTGTAAGATTTTGATTTGTCAAAATAATACACAATCCAAGTGTCTGTAGGTACAGAGAAACAAGTTTTTGCTCACTTTGCCCTTATAGAGGAAAAAGAAGGGTGACTTTGTAGTCATAGTTTAAAAAGAAAAAGAAAAAGACTAGCTAATTGGGAATATTATGTGATCTTCTCCCAGTTCTACCTGCCTGGTAGTCTCAAATAAATGACATTTTGTTCCTCAGTTTCTCTGTTCATACAGCTTTTTATTTTGCACATGAAAAAATTTAGGACCAAGATGAAAGTATTTTGCTGAGGGTATCAGAATGCCATTAAGTTGGGGTAATGGTAATAGAAGATATAAGTAAATTGGCTTAGTAAAATAGAATTTGTCATTGTTCCATGTACTCCAAGCATGTCAAACTCAAAGGCTAACACGGGCCAAATAAACAAGGTTTAAGTTTATGTGGGCCGCAAAAAAAAAAAAAAAAAGCTTCAATTTTCACAGAAACTGCACCTGTAGGTTTATTTCGATAGAGACATGCTGAATACAAAGGGCTGAAATAAATGAGTAATCATTAACATAAAATAATAGAACATTTTAATAAAAATTAATATTTTTTCTTGAACATTAACTATCAGACACTAAATAACTGCACAAATTAATAAGCGTAACACAAATAAACCTATTTTTCTTATTCTCCAGAAGAGAAATATTTCCTGTTGTGCACACCAAACAAGTCAGTCCAAGACTAATGACGTGGCCATCAGCTGCTAACGTATTTGCTGCTAGTGTTAGTGGAGAGAAATGGTGTGCCTGAGCGTATGGCGTGTAAGGGAAGTGAATGCAACACGATTATAATCATCAGTCATTAGCGAACATTCTAGTTTGTTATTAATAATTGTGTATAACAGGATATTGTAGAAATTAAGTTACGAAATTTTTATTAAAACGTTTCTTACAGCCCTGGCTGGTGTGGCTCAGTCGGTTAGAGCATTGTCCCCTGCACCAAAAGGTGGTGGGTTCAATTCCCAGTCAAGGCACATACCCTGGTTTCAGGTTTGATCCCCGGTCAGGGCAACCAATTGATGTTTCTCTCTCACATCAATGCTTCTCTCTCTCTCCCTTTCTCTAAAAGCAATTAAAAAAAAAAAAAAGAAATATCCTCATGGGGGGATTGAAAATGTTTCTTACATACCGTTATATTGGCTGGGCCGCAAAAATATTCGTTGTGGGCTGCGTGCAGCCCCAAGGGCCACGAGTTTGACATGCTTGATGTACTCTTTCTAATGTCCATTGCTCAAGAGTAATAGGCCTTGGAGGTATATCACCCAGAGTTTAAATCCCAGCTCTTCCTATCTCAGAGTTCCCTAAAACTGAGGTTTAGTTTTATTTAAATAACAGAGCTCCTATCCTAGCACACTATCTTGTCAATAGTAAGTTCTTAATAAAACTTACTTGCAATTATTATTCTAAATCAGTTGTTTACTTGTTGGAAGAACTTTGAAAATCCATGTCTGTAAAATGAATCATAGGCCTAAATAGATCTTACAGTATAAACCACTGGTCTTGAAAGTAGAGTATGTGCACACACTGGCATGCATAAGAGGATACATTGTAATACAGGAGAAAATTTAGAACTTCTTTCATTTAATTTTTATCTATAAAAGGAAAAAGTAAACCTTGCTAATACATATGTTATATACAGATTAAAAATTTCACATAAATACACATATTGGGATGCATTTTTTAAAGTTTCTAAAACAAAAAAATGTTTGGACCACACTAATCTGGACCAGTCTTTACTCATCTGCTTTAGTTCACTTTATGCTTTCCTATTAGGTATTCACCTAGCCTCTCTTTTGACTCTTCGTTGGAGGAATCTGCCTTGAAAGACAGGCCATGTGGTTTTGTAGTCATATTTGTTAGAAACTTGACTCACTCTATATTCTATCCAAGGCTTTATCTTCATCTTTGGAGATATGCAGAATAATCCTAATATCCCTTCCTAGTACTCTTTGAATACTTTGACAGCTCTTTATGTCCTGTGTCTTCTGCCTCTTCCCCAACCAGTTTTTCTATAGATATCTAGTTTATACATACCCATTTTTAAAAAACTGTTCTAATATGAAAGGTTTTCAAATTTCTCATCATCTTGGCCCATTTCCTCTAGACACTCTCCAGTTGTCAAAATTCTTTATAAGTTTTTCAACAAGATTTGAACATGGTATCCCAAGAACTACAATGAGCTTAAGGGCCTACCTGCACTTTGTCTTTATGCGGTGAGGGATGTATTTGAATACATTTTATTATGAAGGTATTCATATTGATAGTTTGACATTCTTGCTCTTTATTTTTTTATTTTATTGATTTTTGAGAGGAAGGGAGAGAGAGAGAGAGAAACATCAATGATGAGAATCACTGATTGGCTGCCTCCTGCACACCCCCTACTGGGGATCAAGCCCATACATCCCAGGCAAGTGCCCTTGACTAGAATTGAACCCGGGGCCCTTTAGTCTTCAGGCCAACGCTCTATCCACTGAGCTAAACCGGCTAGGGCTGTCACTCTTGCTCTTTAAACAATCCCCAGTAAAAATAGTTTCAATTATATAATAGTGAGAGTAGGAGAGATTATTTTTCTCCTTCAGTAGTGATTCTCAATTATACTCTTTTTAAACTCTGTGTAAAAGTTCACTTTTGCCTCAAAATACCTAACATGTTAAGTGTTTCCCCAGGTGGGAAAATAAATAGAAAAAACTAATGAAATGGTTGGGTTTCTTAAATCTAATTTAAAAGTTAAGTTAGGAAATAGATTTTTTCAGTTAGTGAGTGGAAAATGGAGCTGATTGTTCTTCTATTTCTTTACATTATATGTCTAATTTTGAAATCCATAAGGTGGAAAATGTTGATTGCCCTTTATATATCTTAAGGCCAGTAGAGCTTGTGATCAGCAGGGAAGTAAGGTACTTTTTAAATTAAAACTATTATTAAACACTAGAGGCCTGATGTACAAAATTCGTGCAAGGGTCTGGGCCCTTGCAGCCCCAGTTTCGTCTGGAAGGTTGTTTGGCTGTCCAGTCTAAATAGCATATGATGCTTTTATTATTATAGATTATGTCATATTTAACCTGAATAGCAGACTTAATTCTGTAATTGAACTTAGACCCAAAGACACTTTCATAGATGTTTTATGGGTTTAAAAAAGTGAAAACCTAAGATTAAACAATTCTACATGGCTATTTGTTTTAGTCCCTTTAATCATTTTTCTTTTTCCTTTATGCGTCTTTTAATTTTTCCATACCTTTTTAAGACATTGATACTCCAAACATATCATACATAGTCTGATTGGAGCTATATAAATTCATCTTGTAGTTCTTCCTGATTCTTGTATTTTAACATTGATGTTTTTAGCTCTGTATAGTATTTAAGTATGTCTTTTGAATGAAATTATTAGATGTAGGGCCCCCTTTAGGGAGTCATCTATGAATTCTTTTGTGATCAGTGGGCCAGATGTGTGGCAGGGGTGGTCAGACAAACCTAATTTCAGTCACTCACCATGCAAATTACCTAAATTGTCTGATCCTCATTTTTCTCATTTTTGTGAGGATTGGATACAAAACACATATAGTCCTTCATAGAAGGATGTTATTTTTTTGATAGTTGCAAATTTTAGTAATCTAAAGAAATATATACATAGAGAGTGGGTGGTATTTTACATCTTCAGTCAGATATGGGTCTAGACGTGAGCCTTATTTTTTTTAGACCTAGTATAATTTAGAGCTGCACTAATTTGTTTATATAAATCAGTAAAACTCAGTCCTCCTTCCAAGAAAGTTTAGCTGTATTTGAGGATGGCAAAAGAAGGAAAAAGATGAGTATGGCTCCTTTTTTTTTTTTTAAGGCTACTAATAAAAACTTTATTTGCAAATGTTGACATAGTGTTTAAGTCAAAATTGAAAGCAACGATAAGCAACTCCTTTGCATAGTTATTACCTCTAACCAAGGCATAATAAGAATTCACTTGGACAGATATCTCTCATAACCTACCTAAAAACAGGATAGTTCATAAATTCTCTAAATTGTTCTTTTCTACTGTGGTCAGTCCTTGATCTTTAGCTGTAAAACCTAGTAAACTATGGCATACTCTAATGCTAGTATTTTAAGTTACCGAAAACCTCTATAAATTTAGCATTATTCCTCAAATCTGGGCAGTTTTCTCATTCTGAATGCTTAAATATTTAGACCACAAACTGAAATACCAGTAGAAAAACATTCATCTTTAGACAGGTTGTACAGTTAACACATGGCAAGAAACTAACAAAATTTAAAAATCTAGAACATACAAATACTTGAAAGTGGCCTCCTTTTTTATAAGCCACAAAAACCCAAGATTTTTCCCTTTTTCATCATCCTTTGCATTTGCCAAGTGCCCTCTTTAGCCTAATGTCTCTAATATGTATTCTCCATTGTTGGTTGAAAGCAGTCTGGTTTCTTATTTGTCTTTCTAGAACAGGGGTGGGGAACGTCTGGCCTGTGGGCAGTATAAGGCCTGTGAGATCATTTGGTCTGGCCCTGCCAAGGCATTATGGGTGAGTTAATTAAACATTTGACCAAATATAGCAGGCTAATTTTTAAGTTGTTAATTTTGTATGGCTCATAAATGATGTTATAAATACTCAAATGGCCCTTGGCAGAAAAAAGATTCCCCACACCTGTTCTAGAAGATGAGAATTTCTAATTTTTCTGAATTTCACTTATTCTTTCATCTCCACTATGAGATGCCATCTTTGTGTTCATTGTTAATAAAATTTTCTTATTGGAGACCTTTCATAAGTAAAAATACCTAGTAAATGTCAAGAACCAGGGCCAAGGTTGCAATGGCCCTGGTGAGGTTGAAAAGGCCCATGTGAGGTTGAGACGGCCCCGGTGAGGTCGAGAAGGCCCTGGTGAGGTCGAGACGGCCCGGAGAGGTCGAGACGGCCCCGGTGAGGTTGAGACGGC